AACTCAACTTTACCGAATCTATTTATAAATAAAACTTGAATTTATTTATAGAATTTAAATTTATTTTACATATGATTAATATAATACTTTTGACACATTTTCTCACATTAAGACGTATATATTTTAAAAATGAAATTATTTACTAATAATGATCAATCTGGTAACCAATGACATAATAAACTCTATTATTTTGTCCACCAAATCTTCTATATCACTATTAATTTCTTTAATTCTATACATGAATGAGTGATCAAATGTGTGAAAACAACCCCAATTGTTAGATTGCAAACCATATCTTTAATTTTTTTTTTCTTCTCTCATTTGTTTGTTCATTGAATATAACTAGCCGTTATGCACCCGATAATCTGAATTTGAATAATACATGAGAAGTCGAATATAACACGTAAAATGATAGTTTCGAATTATACTGAATTGATTGGATTTGTTGAATTGAGTCCTAAAGTGACCCAATCTTGCTCACCCCAAGGTGTAATGAGAAAGATATTATGAATTTTGTTTACCTCACTGCGAGGATAAAAGGTATGTTTCTTTGTTTATTTCAAAAAGCAAAAGCTTCACTTTATTTGGACCTAAATATCGATAAACTATTATCTTAATGGGCTTTAAAATTAGTCTGACTTTTTTCCTGCACTCATATTTCACATTCTCAATTCCTCTATCTTCCACCCTCTTTCCAAAATTAGGGTTTTGTTATTGGATACTAATGCATTGAATGTAAAATTGTAGGTATGTCACGATCCATTGCATTTGGATGGAGTTTGCTTCAAATAAGGTGAACATCTACACCCTTACAAATAAGTTCATGCCCACATCGTCCTTTTATTATATTTTCCCAAAGCCTTGTTTTTTTCCTCACATTATTTCAGGCAATGTGACAACACAAGAAACACATTCATTCCCCAATAGGTAAAAAAATGGCCACAAAACATCTTTGTCTGACATTTTATAAATAAAAGTGATGTCTTTGCCCCTTAAGTGATGTGATAGATAATGATTATAGAAAAGAAAGAGAAGTAGAAAAGTGTAAGGTGAATGTAAAGTTAGAATATGAAAATAAAAGGACAGATAAATTAAGTAAAGAGGAATTAGTTGGCAATAAAATAGAATAGTCTTTTGGTTGAATAAAGATACAATTCTTTTAAATGGTAAGATTGGATTGATTTAATAAGAGATATTATTTGAAGAATGTATTATCTCTTCACACTTTAACGATTAGATTTGGAAAATTGAGTCTAATGACTTGGGTTATCAGGTTAAGTAAAATAAAACATGTAAACTCGATCCTCCCACATCTAAACGGGCTAATTGAAAACAAAAAAATAAAAAAATAATTTCAAATTAGAAAAAATTATATATTTACTTACTTTTTAGAATTTAAATTATAATTAAGATTGATTTCAATTTTTAGTTTGACATATAAATTTTACGATATGTATTTGTTTTAATAAAGTATTACTTTTCTATTTTAAAATGGATTGGTATGATATAAGTTTATTTAGAATACAAACTAAATAAACATTACAGAAAAACATAAATTATCACTATTTTTTACTGACAAAATAGAATTTGTCAATAAATATTAACTATTGATGAATAATTTTATTTGATTTAACAATTAATATATTCATTAAAGAAAATTTAGTTATCTATCAATATTTTTTGTTTAATTGATATATTTATCAATAAAATTGTATTTAAAGTTATTGACTTAATTATCAATAAAATTAACTTAATTATAACGAATTTTATTCATCAATAACTTAATTACCAACAAGTTTTATTCGTAAGTAATTTATTCGATAAAATCAAATGTGTACATTTCAAATTTTGTTTCCCAATTTTAGTAAAATTTCATGATCCTCTCCATTGTGAATATAGTAGTCTTTCGGACAATACTGACAATATCAATAAAATAAAAATAATTTCTAATTAGATGGATTCTCAAAAATAAAATTCTCCAACTTTTGCAAATAAAGATATAAGTGATATAATATTATATTGACAGGTATATTGGTGCATATATGTTATAAAACCCCACTGTCAAAATTTGATACCTGGGGCAACTCCAATGCATTGCCCGCTACTTTTTGTTTTTGAAAAAGGGAAAACAATTCATGCTTACATCAATTCACGTGCAAGTGGACAAACAAATAGATAGCTTTGATATGCAAGTCAGAGTCTTTTGTTCATGAATGATTGAGTTAATCACAATGGGGACACAGAAAACTATTCCTATCTACTTTGTATGATTCACTGCATATCATAACATAAATATATATTGCATGATCCGTTTTTTCTTCTTATTCAAAACCAATATTTTTATTACTTAAAATGATAACAAAAGTAGTAATCTTTTCAAAATCCAACAACCAGAACTTGTAACCAAAGACTAAATCCGTATGAAAAATCTCATATTTCTCATACCAAACATATTTATGAGATTTTGAAAAGTTTGAAGGTGCAGTGAGATGTTCAGATGTTATTGATGGAAAGGAAACATTATAAAAGATAATAAGGAGTGGAATAAGGAATTGGTTTGGTGTTGAAGAAATATCCGAAAAAAGGAAAAATGGAGAGGGGAAAGTGGTAGAGTATATATAAAGACGAAATGAGATGAGTGGGTTTGATAGTCACGGACGAGGGATTCCCATATGAGGAGGCAAATGACATGAGGTGCGACAAAAGTGTCACAATATCTTTACTAATAATTACGATAACGAACATTTGCAGAGACTATACTGTCTCTGTTGCATGATGCTGATGACCACTGTGTATATATGTTCAGCCACCACACCTTTATTCATTTACTTAACGCCACAAATATCTTTCACCAAATTAATATTGACGTGAGACCTAACCCTAATTGTCAGCAACCACGGCATTGCCCTACAGTGCATGCTAACATGCAAACACCTCAGAGAGAGAGAGAACAACTCATACCAATGTGAGTTTCAAAAGTGGTCAACATGCTCAGGAATATTTCAAAATCATGGCTAAAAAGGGTCGTCTTTAAGCAAAGGAATGTCAACAAAAGCACATGAAAATGTGAACGCCGTTTATCAACTTGTACTAACCATTTTTCTAATTTATATTTTAATCAGTGTGAGGGATTAGTAGATTATGTTATAATTAATTGATTGTTGTTAAATCAATATTTTCAAATATTTTATTTTTTTGAAAGAGAAAGTAGTTTTGGCGTCTGATAAATAACATTTTATGTGTAAGAATTCATGATTTGCGTGCTGCCATGCACGTTTATACTACTCTTGGTATCTTGGTCTTATAATAACATTTTCTTGAAAAGTAAGGAATTAGGTATGTGTAATAACAAATTCCTACTGCTTTATTTTTAAGTTTTGTGTAGCTTTAGTGGGTATGGTATATGTTAATTATAGCTAGAAAACAATGATGAAATTGAAAGGAAACCAGGCTTTGTCGTTTCCGTTGGAATATATCGAATACGTGAAGATTCTCAGCATCCTCGTCTGTTGAGCTTTGTGCACAACCTGGCTGGCTTTACCGTGTTTTCTTTTCTGTCTCAAATTAAACTTTTCATGAAATTCAATGAAACAGTGAATTTATTCAGATGTCTATCACTGTCAAAGAGAGAGTACTGAATACAAAGGGATCGATGTACTCAAGAAAAACATAAGAATTATAATTTATAGAATCGAAATCATAGTTAATATATCAATTAGACTTCTTTTCATAACAAAATAACCTCAAAGCAGTTTTAAATAAGTCCATAAATTCTGCCTAATCTTTTCCTTATTACAACGTTGACTTTCCAAAATGATGATTTGGCTGTGCTGACTTCAGGTCAAGGTCCAAAGAACTGAGAACCCATGACACGTTGTTGTTGTTGTAGTTGTTCTCTCTGTGAAAATCCACCATTCATATTTCTCACCATTCCTCCAACACCCAAAAAGTCTAAGGTCAACTTATCAGAACCTCCAAAGTTAACGCTAAGATTCTGGGGCAACTTATTGTTGGACTCGTCCAGGTTGTGAAACCCACAAAGGTTGTTTTCGTTCCCTTGCATGTTCCTAAACAAGGACGTGTTTCCATTGGCGATAGAGTTCATCAACCCTTGAAGACTGTGATGGTGGTGACCATTTTCAGCTTTGGGACCATTATTGCTACACATTCCTCTAAGTAAAGAAGAACCGTTGGAGGTTGTGGTCGAACCCATTTGTGACGCTTTTTGAAGCAACACAGTGGCAGACATATGAGGGGACGATACGTTTTCTAATGAATCACCAAAGAGCGAAGAAAAACCCGAACCAAGATGGTCACTTACTGCAGGGTTGTTATTAAGATAGAGTGGTGGTGGTGTTGTTCCGTGGTCACTACCGCTTATGTTGTTGAATTGATCAGAGATAATGGTGCTAGTGCTATTGCTGCTAGGGAAGAAGCTGAGGTTGAAAAGATTGGAATCAGGAGCAGCAACTGATGAAGAATCGGAGTTGTTGGTGTTGGCATGAAGATCAGTGAGCTGCATTAGGCCATGTAGTTGTTTGTTTGAGAATATTGGTCCTTGTTGCGATTGGTGTTCTTCAAATAATGTTTGATAGGTGCTGTCATTCATGAAGAAAGCTGAAGAAGGCATTGATTGTGGTGAGTGTCCAAATGAAGACTGATTTAGAGGTGGAATCAAGTGCTCAAACTTTACAGCTGCACCAACATTTCCAAGGCGCAAGATGTTGTTAGAGGTTGTTTGGTTCTGATTTTGAACTTGGGAAAGTTGATTACCCACTTGGGATAGGGTTAAACTAGTGTGGTTTGTGCCAAACAGATGAGTCCCCAAAGGGTTCGAGTTACTGGGGAATCTTGCACTCTCTTGTGCCAGCGCATCACAGAACGCCCTATGAGTGATGAAACTGTCACGCCTGCATCAAAAACATATTGGAACAAATCAAGTTATACGTAAATTAACCACATTAGATGATAGAAATTGAGAATAGAAAAGCTGAATTTATTACGTCGAATATCAAGTTTGGACTCAAATTATATATATTAATTATAAGTATGCTAAACTGAGAATAGAATGTAATAATCAAACTGTTCCTAATCAGCTCAATAACAGCGAGTATGCCACCGATCAACACATAAAATTCTTAAACAAAACCATATATTTACTTTAAGAACGTGTATGGGTAACCTAACACCGTCCAACCTAAAGAATTTTGGAACTGCTGAATCCAAAGATAGTTAAATATAAAAATAAATAAAATAAAAGCATAATAGGAATCATATTTTCTTTGTCATTGGAACTGCAAATTTGAAAAGAAAACTACAATGGAAACAGAGGGCCCAGGGGAGCATTATATATACCAAAATATGATACACACAAGAAATCCAAATCGAACTGCCACTTTAAGGTCTCTCTCATTGAATAAAAGAGAATTATTTTCAGGTTTTGATGATAGTCAATTATCATAAGAGCAAACATGGGGCCAGTTCAATAAATGCAAACAACCTCAATAGTTGTCTATTTTCTACGATGAGAATTCGTTTCAAAACAGTCGTACAATACAAAAATTGCCGATAGAAGGGGCGAATTAATGCAGAGAATTTGTTTAGCGATTGCATAATAAATAATGGGGTGGCAGTGGTGACAATTATGCAGCTCGGACCCATTGCAAGAAGATAAGTGTATTTATATTTGAACCGAGCCAAGCCGAAAGAGAACAAAAGGCAGCATCTCCAACTCATGTGAGAACAAACCCAGTATCACTGTGCCTGTTGCCTTTGCAAAGTTGTTTACCTACACGTGAATGGGAATAAGGGTGGGGGCACTGTTCCCGAGGAACAAAGTTGAACTTGCTTGTTTTTTCTTCTCAAAGCATGTCAATTTTGGTACCCCATTTCAACAGGGTACTCACGTGCGACCAGTCTTCTGCCATTACTCCACTAACACCCAGACACAAGCTAACAGGGAAATCAATGGAGAAAGCTCTTGTTCACATTTTTAACTTCTCTTTCGACTGTTTACTCAAGCTACATCCTTACATGTTATAATTGACTTAGTCCATTCTTTGTGTAACTTTCTCCAGAGAGATTATTATCAAATAAAAAAATTCTTTCAATGAGGTAATAAAAAATCATCATTATCAAATAAGCTAAACTAGAAATTAGCAAACATACTTAGGTTGCATTTAGACATGCTTATAATAAAAATGCGTCAAGCTCCAAAGCTTTTACTAGTGCGAAAAATTCAAAACCCTAATTTTTCATAAAGTTGATGGTGTGTGTATGATATACACACACATTAGATGAGGAATGTATGAAGTGAAGGAGAAAGTAAGATAAAAATGGGTTGTTACCTAGAAAAGAGAGTGCCACAGTCACATCTGTACTCTATAGTGCCACAAGTCTTAGAATGTGCTTTCCAATCAGATTGAACAGCATATTTCTTTGAGCACTTTTCACACTTCCACTTCTTCTCACCATGCTTGCGAGAGTAGTGCTTCTTGATCCCAGTGAGGTCTCCCAAGGCCCTTGAAGGATCATGATGGACACAGGTGGGCTCGGGACAAAGATAAACCTTTCTTTTTTGCTCTTTTGTACTCTTCTGCTTTAGCTTCCAAGGAAGGTTGTGTCCTCTTCTGTGAAGCTGTAGGTTTTGCTCCCTTTGGAATCCTTTATTGCACACCTCACATATAAACCTGTTTGTTGCCATTAGGGTCTTGGGAGATAGTTCTATCACCTCTGCGTCTGGATCTTTTACCCCCATAAAAATGACAAACAACAAATTATTAAAAAACCCTTTTGCTTCAATCACTTGCTCAAATTGAATACGCACAAGAAACAGAAGAATAATCTTTCTTTTCTGACCCATGTTTTAGAACCACGTAGGCACTTTAACAGTAATCATAAAAGAAATACAAATTTTAAAAAATCATTAAAATTTTTTCACTTGAACTTTCATGCTACTGAGACTCGTGGAGAAAGAAAATCCAACCATGAATTGAATGTCTTCACAGTAAATTAAACAAGTCAATAGCCCTTACTCATATTCATGATTTAGGGTTTTGTTGTGTTTGTTATTGAGAAAACGAAAACAAGGGAAAAAAAACAGCAAAGTATATGTGTGTGGTTTAAGTGATGAAATTCAACTAAGCTACTTGCTTGGTGTTCCAGGTTGATTCCTCCGTTTCTTTTGAGGCACTGCGATTGGAGCCACAGTGGAGGGTTGATGGTGTGCTGTAATCTGAGGGCTTTCTTCTCTGATTCCCAAGAATGGAGTGGATGAGGAAGCTGCCGACATAACTGTTGTGCAAATCTGGAACTAATATCTGAATCAAAAGTAAAACCTATCAGATATCCGAATATCCTTCTGCTGAAAGAAAAAGAAAACCTCAATTGTATGTTTCCTTGTTGCTTGGAAAGAATAAACAAAAAGAAAGGGAAAAAGAAACTACAACAGAATGAAAAAAAAAGACCTGAAGTATGTTTGATTTTTTCCCTGCTTTCTTTGTCTGTCAGAAAAAAAGAAAAAAAAAAGAAACTGAGAGAGATTAAATCACAAAAGATACCGAGAGGAAAGTATCTTAGGAGACAGAAGCAAACAGGAGACGAAGAGAAGAAAACAATTCACTCTGAATACCTAGTTATCTCCTTGCTATTGTTTTCTTATCATAAAATTTAGCTACTACACTCCCTCTTGTTATTTCTCAATCATTTGGTGTCATCTAGACAGGAGAATAATAATAATAGTTAATAACATGCTAGGTTGTCCTCGAAAAGGCATGTATAAATCAACTGATATGTATCTCTTTTGATCTATGTGTCTCTTCTTTTCCCCTCTTCTCCTCATGGTTGTGCATTTTGTGAGGGGAAATAATTAAGGGTGGTAAAGTTGCCAGCGAAGTGAGGAAGGTAATTTATGTCACTGTTATACTGCTCCTGCACGGGCTACTGTGTCCTTAGCAGATGATGGTCTGGGGCCACCGACCCTCTTAGCCTTCAACCTCACCTTATCTCTCCTTCTCTTATTTCCTATCTTTTTACCAACAACCAGACAACATTCGTCATTTTTTAGCCAACAACTAATTCGTTTATACAACTATTCTTATTATCATCAAGTCTTACAATATACTTTCTTTACCATGCTTTTTACAAAACTTTCATCTGTTATCATACGGTCACTGTAAAATTGACAAAAAATGTTCTTGGATTTTTGGTTGGTGAATCAAAATCTTGTGGTAATTCTGGGACAAAAAGGACTTGGAACTCTTAAAAACCTAAGCGTGTTAACCAAGTAGAGACAGCGCTTTCTTGTAGATACTGACAATATTTGTGTTGCTCTCTGATTCTATAATAATGGTAATGGTATTTTGAACTGTTTGGTTGAAGAGATATTTTGTTGGTGATGATTAGTTTCTTGTTCCTTTTGTAAGAAAGATATTTGGTTGGAAAAGTGATATCGGTGTTGTGACCAACTTGATTTACTGAGTGTGTATGAGGATGATGTTTGCATTGACAATGCTAGGTTGAAACATTCTTTTCCTTGGTTGTACAAAGTCTCTGTTAAAACAGCTGCTTCGCTTGAAGTTGAAAAGGGAATTTGGTCTGATAGTTTGGTTCTGGAGATCAATACAAGAAACTCGTTGCTTGTCGGTCAAAAACTAATGCTATGTCACAAAAGCCAATGCAAATTCGTATGTAACAGCCAAGCGAAAGCTACGAAGATGGTCACAAAAAATCTACGATTCCTTTTAAATTTTCTAAAATTTCACAAAATATAAAGAAAATTAATAGATAATTTATAAAAAATAACATTTAAGTATTTTATTTTTATATATAAATGTCAAATAAAAATAATTGTCTATGATGTATATTAGTTAATTAGAAAAAAAGTAAGCTCTCGAGAAGGCAATTGTAAGACGATTTCAATTTTCCCTTTCAAGTGAAGATGTACGTGACGACTTCAATTTCATTTTAGTATATTTTTATGCAAGTGGATACTTCCATTTTTTCGTATGTTTTTATATTCAGTTAGTTTTTTTTTTCTATCAAGTAATTTAGGTTTTTTAATTTAAATTTTATAAATATAATGTTGCGTTTTTTATACTTTAAAAGAAAATTAATTAAATTTTAAGTTATAAATTTTATAAATTTCAGTATTTTTAATTAAATTTTTATTAAAATTTATACTTCATTAAGTATTTAAAATATTTTTTTATTTTATTCAAGTACCAATATCGATAAAATAATTTTATAAAAATAAATTCTTTTTTGAATGATGTGATCATTGAATAAAAAATTAATTAAAAATATTTAAAATGATCGAATACTTAAAATTTGAATTTGAAAGATTAGTCACTTGTGTGTGGAATTGCTAGTTGGTATAATTCATTATAATACTATTTTCAACATAAAAAACTTAAACTTATAATATTTTTGTTTAATTTTGTGATTTGTATTGGGTGTAAGATTTGAACATTTATCTATTGGAAAGTATTGGTATTGAAAGAAATGAGAGATGATGATGATGATAATGATGGGTATAGGTGAATTGACATTGGAATGAAAATGAAAGATGAAGAAGATTAGGTGGGACCATGTGTGTGTGGTAGATTTGGATAGTAAAAAAACTGAGACAAATGATATGTGTGGGGGTAAGTACCTAGATAAGGACCCTTTTTAACCACAGAAAATTAGATCAACAATTATAAATATTAGGGATTTGGCTTTACTACATTTCAAGTTCTCTGCAGCCTTTGTTTCCATTTACCTCTATTCAAACCTCTCTATGTTGGAAGTCACATTCCTTGTAATTCTTTTTTTTTAAGTTTATTTTATCAAATTAAATTAGTCTACTCTTTATGTTTAAGTTTTTTAGAATCAGTAAGATTTTTTATTTATTCCATTTATTTTATTTTAAATTAAATTTTAAATTCATTTCTTAATATTTTTTTGTAATATAATTATAATTGAAAAGAAATATTCATTTGAAAACGTATTGAAAACTATATTGGTCACAAGCTCGCATTTATTTTTTCTAATTATAAGTCGGTCTGTTCTTATTTGGTTTTAGTATTCTTTATCTTAATAAATTCTTTGAATCAGATAAATGACTTAGAAGATAAATAGGTCAATGGATCAATTCAGATCTTCATAAATAAGAGTTCACGAAACTCTAGTTATCCTATAAATAATATATTTTTTAAAGTAAATAATTTATATTTATATTTACAAAACTTTTTGTTATTTAATATACTTTACTAGACATCAGAACATCTTTTACAAACATACCATCACTCATATATGAAAGATAAGTATCGAAACGAGAAAGAAGAACACTTAACACATAAATAAGTACAAAAACTTATATATTGCCCCTCACATCTACCATAAAAAACAACAAACAAGCATCTATAACTTATTCCCACTTTCCATATTATTTTCCAAGCCCCACTTTATAAAAAACTATAATCCAAATTTATTTATAAAATTGTTACAAATTAATCATTCTTTTACACTGTATTAAAAAAATATTACTATCCCTCTTAAAATACTACATTTTACAGCTTTGGGTTGACATTGATTTAAGTGGTCCTTTTATAACATGCACATAGAATGTGACAGAAATAAATGAATGGATTTTATTTTATTTGTATATTATTAAAAGGAATTAAAAAAGTGATATATTTTAGTTTTTGTAAGAAAAAAAAGCTAAGAAACAAAAAGGAAATATTCCCTTCGGTTTCCACTCGTCAAACCTTGCCTCAAACTCTAGAAAATTGACAACTTAATCCTACATGCACTAGAAAATGATAATAACCCTTCAATAGACATGTTATGAATTTTTTACAGGTATAGTTTATTAGAAAATGAAACACGCACACACTAAACTAATGTATTTATCAGATTTTATTAATAATGATAATTTTTGGCAAACTAAACGAATTTCAAAAATAGAAATACAAAAATTTTATAGTTTATTACATGTCAATAAATTAATGAAGTCAGTATGTGAAATGACCAAATATTATCATAACTAAGGCATATTAAGATGCAAAACAAACGTTTTCAACTCAAGTGACCTGGTTTAATTTTAAAAATTATAATAAATAATAAAAGTATATTTTAGTCTAAGTTTTATATGCCTTTAATTATTTTGACTTAAGATAAGAATGAGATTGGCTAATATATTTAGACTTATTTTATCCCTTAATTTGGTCACATAGATAAATTGATTTCCAGATATATCACTTTAAAACCAGTCATATTTTTAATTTTGTTTCTGCCAAGATATTTCGTAAACACTCTACTTTTTGAAACTCTTATGCATGAATTGGAATAGGAGTTCGACCAATCAGCCATAGCCCTTTTCTTCCTGCAGCTCCATAATTGCTCACACGTAATTTTTAAAATAACAAATTTATCCTTCGTAAAAGTGACTTCCACAATAAACATTTCAGAATGAATTTCCTGGAAAAAGTTTTTCAAAACCATAAAATTCATTTCAGAATAAACTTCTAAAATAAGTTTATATGTACATTTTTGGAACGAACTTATCTGAAAAAAGTTCTTTTTCTTCTTCTTCTTTCTCTACAATGGAGCAAGGGAAGGGCAGCGTGATGACAAAGCAAAGCAGTGGTGATAACGAAGGTCAACATAACATATGCAATAAATAAGGATATTTTAGTTTTATTGTTAGAATGGGGTGGAGTTAGTAATAATGACATATGAGAAAGAACGATTTCCACGATATATTACCCTTGTCTAAGCCCATAAAAAGTACAATTCTTCTCGTGAAGCCCCCTATTTTGTTACAAAAACTCTCCACAAAGCAAATTGTATGACAAGAAGATTTGTTGAGACACTTATATAGTTCTATTAACAATATTTTGTTCGATACACATCAATCAAGTTTATCTTTAACAAATTATAAAATACAAAACAAAAACTTGTTAAAATACATAATTAAAATTTTACTGTGTATCTTCAATAAATGTTGTCAAATTGCATAACTAAACTAAAATCTTATCGAGACTTTATTTTTATTATGTTCAGAGTTGTATCAATCTTCAAATAATCTTTCGTTAAAGAAAAAATCTAAATGGTGTGGCTTGTTAACAATTTTGGGGTTTCCAATAACAATAGCCACAATGATTAACAAAAGCAAACAACCCATTAGAGACGGAAAGGTAGACTAGGCCGACATCTATATTGGCCCAATTAAGTATACGTTGAGTAAAGCTTTAAAACTTGATTTTATTTTATTTACTTTTACAAACCTAATATTATTGAAATTAAGACGAGAAACGAAATAATTTATTTTAAAATATCTCTAGAAAAATAATTATGATAAAATATAACATATAATTTCATTATAATATAAATCTTTCATTTGCCTTCACTTTTTAACAAATTTAATTTTAAAAACAATTTAATTCTACTCACTGCAAGCAAACATAATTACTTTTCTCTGTAATATTTTGCTATTTTAAATTGGTTATTAAATTTAATAAATAATTAATTCATTTTTCTATGGTTAAATTATATAGTAAATCCTTACAACTTTGTTACGATTTTAAAAAATCCTGTATATTTTCATAAAATTTAGTATTTGTTTAATTCTGGATAATAAGTTCGTATATACTAATGATATTCAACAATTCATATTTTTTTTATTGAATTAGAAATACAACTCAAAAGTCTGTGCCACAAAAAGAAGAACCAACACAAAATTCATTTGATAGGCATCAGAGTAGAGCTTGTTCTTATATTTAATTTTAGTTTTTAAATAGGTTACCAAAAAGCTTAGTAAAATTCAATAGTTATTCATGAATCGAGTCATAGTTTAAATAATTACTTATATTTTGCAATAGCTACAGAACATATTTTAACCTTTCAATATATAAAATTATTTAAATA